TGACCGCGCTCACCAACAGGAGGTCGTTGCCAAAAAAAACAGCCAACCTTGCGCCCGCCCTTCCCCTTTTCACCCTCACTGCTCTGCATCCGCTCACAATGGCCACGCTTCCCCGCTCGACGCCTGCGCGCGGCACGGCGCCCGCTCGCTGCCGCTGCCTTGCGTCGCCGCGGCCATTTTGCTCGAGGTTGTCTGCGCCGCCCGCTCCGCCGCCGCCCGCGCGTTTCGCGCCCCGCGCACCGGGGTTGCTGCGACGGTGCCGAAGGGGCCCAAGAATGCACCCCGCAACGCCTCGCCGACACCCACGACGCAGGGAGCGCAGGCGGGACGGGGGAACCAGAGCGGGCAGCGGAGCTACAGTCAGTCCACCAACTACACAGCAGCGGCCACTCTCGAGCTCATCGACGCGGCTGGGAAGCCCAACTGTGGGGCGCGCCTTTGCATCAGCGACGGCACCGGCCTCAGGAGGGGAGAACCTGGGCGGAACCATGCGCTGAGCACGCTGCAGGCCAGGGCCGCTTCCCAGCACAAGCTCCCTCGCGTTCCGTCGGTCTGCGAGCCCGTGTGCCCCACGGGCCTCAAAGGCCCGGATGCAAATCAGAACCCCATCAATGGCGCATCTTGGGCATTCGTGTCCGCGCCGCACGCGACGACCGCCATCGGGGCGAAGCAGGTCATCCAGTGCACGAGCGACCTCGGAATCGCCCCCCTACAGAAGGCCTTCCTCAACGTCAACTTGGAGGCCCCCGCGGACGACAAGAAGAGCGCCTGGGCCGCCAAGTCGGACACCCTGCAGCACCGCATCAAGATCACGCGCAGCGGCGAGAAGATCGCTGGAGGTACGTGCCAGATCGCCAAGCTCAACATTCGCGCGGTCGTTGCGGAGAACGCCCCGAAGAACGTCATCTCCGATTGGGAGGCCCTCGCCGGTAAGCACGCCCGCATCATCACTTTCAGCGCCGCGCCACCCGGAGCCACTTTCGACCCCAGAAACCTTAGGCGAAAGTCTGCCATAGACCGACTCCCTTTCGCGTGCGCCTCTCCATCGGCTTCCCTCTGGAACCCGCCCTTTTGCCTACCATGGGCTCGCCTTGAGGCCTCGCCCTGACACACAGGATGGCTTCCAGGCTTCCTTATGTTGTCCCGAGGACCAACCCCGAGGCTCACCCCTACAACTTCGGGCTTGCGCAGCCCCGTTCCTAGGCTTTCCTCAGGTCTGACACATCGGCGTACGGTCGCCTCACCCTAGGCGCTTCGCTTAGATGACCTTCGGCGTACTCCATAAACCTGATGTTCGGCCTTGCCTGAGGCCAGCCCCATTTCCAGCACTTTCCGGCGCGCCTCCCCGTTAGGCTTCCCCCTGGGGCCCGCCCCTTTGCTTACCTTGGGCTTCCCTATAAGCTTGTCCCGTGGGCTTGCCTAGGCTTGCCCCTAGGGTGTCGTAGCGAGATGTGCTGCGATTTGAAACTTATTGTTGACCCCTGACTAGACGCAGCCCTATTCCAAGGCTATTCGCTCGGTTCCCTAGGCCTCATGCTAGACCGTTTCCGTGGGCCTACCCTCAGAGCCTCCCGAAGCGCTTGCATTCGGCGTTCGGCCAGGCCTTCCCTGGGCTAGGGCCTCGCCCTGGAGCTTCCGATCGTCACCAAGACATGCTCCCATAGACTCCACAACCAAGACCTGCCATAGACCTACCCGTGGCCTTCCCTTCGGATCCCTTGGCCTCCCGCGGGGGCCTGCCCGTAGAGAAAGAAAGATCTCGTGCCCAACAGGGCCACACGACGGCCCAAGAGAGCTCCAAAAGGCACCCCACTAGTTTTAAACATCCACGCCAACGCCTCCAGAGCCCAGAAAACCTGGGAAACAGCGCCTGCAACGGAGGGACGTGCAGGAGAAAGAGGCCCCCCAAGGACCCAGAGAAACCAACAACAAAAAATAGATGCCCTTTTTTGTTGGTTGTTCGGCGGATTTCGGCGTTTTCGGTTTTGTCGGGCTCCCGATGCTCCAAGACGGCCCAAGAAGCCCCCAATATCGCCCCAAGGCTGCCCAACGGGCCCCCAAAAGGCTCCTAGGCAGCCCAAGAGGGCCAAAGAAGGCCCAAGAGGTCCCAAGACGACCCATAACGGCCCCAGGAGGGATCCCAGGAGGGGGACTGGAACTGGAATGGAGCACCCTCCGCCCCAAGATGACCCCGAGACCGCCCACAGGCCCCCACGAGGCCCCCCAGAGGCCCCAGGAGACCCCAATAGGCCCAAAATCAGGCCCCGAGAGGCCCCAAAGACGGCCTCCACGAGGCTTCCGAGAGAGGATCCTGTTGAGAGCTCTGGGACCGCGCCGGCCACCCAAGAGATGGG